TTTCTAAAAGAATTGCTATAGCTCTAATTTCCCCATTACGAATCAGACTAGATCAGAAGCCTGTCGCCACTTCATTCAAAACCTACTAACAAGCCCATTACTTTTTATCAATATGAGGTGATCATAGCATTATATAAGACTGTGATTTAGGCAATTCAATCTTCTGTGTGCAAGGCAGAAGCCCCCAAAAAGGTTTTCCACAAATGGGTGATCAAAAGATTGAATCACTATGCGTATGTTGGTGGTGTTTCTTTTTGGCTAATTCTATTTCATTTTCTATCGATAAAAAAGCATAAAATCATGCCACACCAGTAAAAGAGTTAAGCTACAAAACTAAGCTGTTGTTAGGGAACTAAGTAGTTAACCAAAGATGCTAACCAAAACCACCTCCTGTTGCCAAATTCAAAAAATCAAGTATTTGGCGGAATTCATCACTAGAAAGACCAAGATCACTAATGTTTTGCAAAACAAAAGAAACATTTTGCACAGTTATATCACTCCTAAGGATTTCAGTAAATCTATTAGGCATGCAAAGTAACATAAATTTAAAAAAATAAATAAAAAAAAAGGCCAAGAATATGATTTCATTGATAGATGAATGCATACCAACAAGTGCTGCAGGTCATCAATAACATCCAAAGCTCCAGCACACTCTGCAGATGCGACAAGCTGCATAACCGAGAAAAATAAATCAAACTCCTCTCCAAGCATTAACAAAGTAGCCTCTTCAAATCTATATTGTTTTCCTTTCTTTCTTGGTGAATGACACAAAATAAAAGAGAAATAAAGGAAATTCAAAAGCTGACCAATTTAAGAGCGGATAACGCTTGGTTAACAGATAGAATAAGCTTCAATTTATGTTGGAGTGCAAACAAATTGGTCCTATTGGCGTTCAACTCCTGAATCTGCCTAGCAGAGTCAACCAAATCAGTGTCTAAAAGCCGAATAGTTTCCTTTAACTCGCGAATCCGACTACAACCTTCCACAATCTTAACATTCAAGTCCTGCAACTGCCCTTGCGCTTCAAAGAAAGAATTGGAGCGCAGCGAAATCTCCTTGACCAAATGCAGCTCCACCACGTCCAGGTAGTGTGACAACTTCTCCTGAAGCACAATGTTATCAGAAACATCGGTGAACGGGCAGGCTGCCCGGAAAGTGGGTCCATCTTCGAGTGCGAAATCTTCCTTAAAGTAGAGTGCCGGGACCTCCCTCAAACAAGCGACGAGGGCCTCCCCAATGTTGTCGACATCGAGGGTTTGCTCCTTGGTGGAGTGGTTGCGAATGTCCTCGAAGCGATGGTAGGAGTCAGAGACGGAAGAGACGTAGGATTGGAAGTCGGATCGTGTGAGGTCGGAGGAGGCTTTGGTTGAAATTAAGGGCGCGAACTCGGGAGGAGAAACGGACCACCAACCAACCCAAGAGGCCTCCAATTTGGCAGCGTGAGGGTTGTTGAGGATCGAAGAGAGACTTTGGCTACCCGCATCGGTCACGGAGAATGAAGGGCTTCGACCTACTGGGGACGACCTTCCCGATGGGGAAGGCTGCGGATCCATTTTCAAGATCTACAAACCATCAAACAACAAAATTTGGGTTCTCAATTTTGCTTTCTAATCATCCAACTGTTTCTTTCCGTTAAATTTCTTTTTCGTTCCTTCGGATCTAAATTCTGAGAACAAATGAACAACGCTAATCCAATGTGTTGGTTTGAATTGAATCAATGGTGATTTTGGGATCTGGAAAGAACGGGAAAGAAGAAAGAGATCTGAGAAGAAGAGATGGAAGTGCAAAGCGTAGGAAAGAAAGCTGGATTGGCTGGACCGGACCGCCTCCTTGGGTCCCGCCACTCTTCTCAATCCGAGCCGACCCGCTTTAGCTGCACCATTTTCATGGAACTTAGAATATTAATTCAATAAAAAAATGAAAAAAAATTAATAATCATTGAATACATATACATATATATATATATATATGTTATTATTGGGAGACAATATTAATTATTTCAAGTTTTTAAAGAATGATCATTCTTGAAAATGAGATAAATAAAATAATCATTTTCCTCAACTAAACATATTATTTTAATGAATATAATTTTAATATTCGGGCACATATAATTAATTGTAATTGAAAAAAATATTTCATAAACAAATCAATAATCCAAATTAGGGGTGCAATAAGCTTTATGTTAGAAAATCATATGTAATGGCATAATGTTATTTAATTATTTTTAATTTTTTTAAATTATAATCTTAATTTTTGTAAAATAAAGTTATTAACTAGAATTATATTAATTATGAATTAATAACAAATTATACACTCTACATGATATAGTAATGAAATTAATATATATATGTAATATAATAAAATACTAGGAATTATATATAGTTAATGTATATATCAAGCAAGGAAATTAATATGATATTAACCCATTTAAGGCGACCTTCTACTGTCTTTGAAATTTTGGGAGAGATTAATTGATTGAGTCAAACAAAGTTTCAACTACTTCAAACGAAAATATAAATTAATTCAAAATAAAAATATTTTGTTATCATTAAAAATAAAAAAAAAATCAAATGTTAATATCTACAAATATATAACCGACTTTTGTTAATAATTAAAAATGTGATGATAGTTAAAAGTGTTTATTTAAAAACCATAAAAGTATTATGTAGTTTGAAATTGTGAATATCAAATTTTACACTTTTAATTTTGAAAATTTTAAATTTATGAAAAAATTAAAAAAATTAAGATCTCTTAAAACAAAGTTTAATCAGCGCACGTGTGCATGGTAAGTTGGTAGCTTGATGGATCGATCCACCACTTCTATTTATGGATAAATATTAATTTTTTTTTCATTATTTCAATTGTCGATCAACATTCACGTGTTTAAAAAATAAAAATAAATCAAGTTGAATTTTCAACTTAAACTAGTTGTGATACTGTTTAACTTGATCGAACCACTGACATGAACAAGTATTTGAAATTAATTAAGAAGAATTTTATGATTGAAATACCAATTAATATAAAAGGCTACAAACAAAATTAACATCCTTTTTCTTATTGTTGCATAAAAACAATATATTAAATTGAATTATTTTATTTTTCCAATAAAATGAAAGAATTAGAGGATAAAAAATTTGACAAAATGCCAGAAAAATCCAAGGAGAATTTCTCAAAGGATATACCATATACATCTATCATCTGATGATGGCCATTGGCTATGGATCAAATTCTCAAGAAACACAAAACCTCATACAGGACAATGTCACTGTTACTTAAACAGTGCGTTGGTCGTTGGGAGAGAAAAGCACTGTCGAAGGAACAGTCGAGAGATAGGCACATACTACTAATTAATTAATTAATTATAGAATTCAATTACGCAAAGTAGGAACATAAGCAAATCATAGGGTTTATATAGATATACGCATGCATGAGGTATGATTTGAGATCTCTGCGGTATAAGCTCATGTATGGGGAAAAACCCTACATTGTTAAGCGGAGAAGATGCTTCTTGTTGGACCCTAAGCGCGGTTCACGCTTGGCTTTCACCAAACGGCTCAAAACTTTGGCATACCGACTCATCATTCCTTTCAGCTTCACACCCCCATGGCCATCCTGCTGGTTTTTCTTCACCAGCTGAAGCTGTTTCTCTTCTTGGTTGAAATGTTGACCCAGTGAGCTCCTGCCTGATGATCTGCAGCTGGCCTCCTCCTTTGCTTCTCCTCCATCACCGTTGATGAGTTGGTTCAAGCTTTTATGATCACTACTCTCTTCCCCTTCATCAGCATCATCAGCTGCTTTTCCTGGGAAGATTTTCAGGGATTATCCCATTTGGAGGAAGCAAGTTTGAATGTACCATTAGCTTCCTGGAGATCCAGTGGCTTCCGGGTTCTCTTGGACAGTGAATGTCATAATGCGGCTTGCTGGGTTGCAGTGCTTCCCATTATGGGTGGAAAAACAAAGCAGGCATGGATGGAAGGGAAGAAGAAGAGAAGGGGGAGGGAGGGGTAAGAGAGGTTTGCTTGGAGGGCAATTAAATTAAAGGGTAGTTTTAAAGGTGAAATGTCTGTTTTCGCATTGTCCCTCTCTCCAAACTGAAAGATTAACCATTCCCCCATTGCACAAGTAGCTGGTAAATGAAGAAGAAGGCGAAATGGCACCAACCAGCTTCTGTTTCTTGTCTTCACTCTTCTCATCTCCTTCACACTTCATCACTCTCGCCCCTTCCTTACCAGCTTTGTTTCTTCTTAATTCTATGTAAATAGATTAGAAAATGCTGCCCGTACACTATTTGAGACCTTACGTCAGCAAGAAATAGAGAATGTTTCGACTATATAAACATATCTCTTCCATCACTTATCAAACTTATTTAATTTTATTTTTAGAATTTAAAATTACACAAAATTGAACTTAAAAGTTCCGACTCATTACACGCATTATCGATTTAATTTTTTATTTATATTTAACATATGATCAATGTATTATGTATACATTGTAACTTAATCATAAAGCTTAAAAATCGTTTAAAATAAATATCTTTTAAATTTATTTATTAACAAAATTACATGATTTGATTTATTGTTAACATACAAAACTTATAAACTGCAACTTTTTCTTTAATCAAAATGGAAAGGGTATTTTTATCATTATTTTTTGAAAATAATTTTTAACCCTTAAATGTGCATTGATGTGGATATAAAACCTTTTTATTGATAGTTAAGCTCAAAACCTACATCCAAATTCAAAGAGTGTTGGGGTTTTTTTTAAAAATCTGTGGGGCATAATTTCTAATAATTTTAATTTTATCTTAATTTTCATTTTCAATGGTTTATAAATTTTCAATGATTTTCACATCCCAAATTTGATAATATGACCAGAAAGATTACCATACAAACCCTATTAAATATTTTCCCTTTAAATGGAAAGAGTAAACAGACCTTCCTTGACATAAACTTTTAAGAATGCTTATTATAAATAGACATTTTAATAACAGAGTACCATCATTTAAAAAATCATCATGACACCACTAAATTATATAAATCTATCTCTGCCTCAAAAGGAAAAGAAAGTAAACTACATGTGTGAGCTTTGATTGTAAATGTGTCAGGTATGGTGTATGTGCCAAAGAGAGAACAAAGGCATCCCCATCATACTCCCAGCACAGGGTAATGGGAAATATTAGTTTAATCTCATCAACTGCTAAATCAAACAAATATACATTCTGGTCAAAAACTGAAAAAGATCTATAACTCTGGTGTCCACCGGAAGCAAAAGGGAATCTCCTTGGCTTACTAGACTGTACAGCTATATTCAGCAAGGATAACTTCTATAAAGACTGTATTCTGATACCCCAAAATCCCGCTAACTTGCCCGATGATGCTGTTGCAACAATTTTTACAACCTACCTCTGTTCTGAGTTTCTCTACAGTGGGAAGAGTGGATCAAACTGGCCTAGTAGATTCTCCACTCAATTCTCTTCTAACCAGCTTCAATATCTCCATAATCTGAAACAGGCAAAATAAAGAACTTATGAACATCAGATTTGGAAATGCATGGATGACAAGCATACAGAAATTACGGGCATGGCTAAGCTACGACACAATTATCAGAACACCACAACAAGTTATTAATTGTTCATATATGTTATTTTCTTCATAAAAATGGATATTCAAGCATACATATAAAAAACAGATTAATAAACTGACTACTTTTTCCCACTCCGCTACTATCAAAATTGCATACATATGCATTCAACCATGAATTAGCTTAAACAGTATCCTTTTTTCCCTTATCACTATTTCTGTCTTTCCGCAACTTCAAGTATAAGCTTTGGTTAAATAACTGAAATCATCTTTCTTTCTTTCTTTTTATGGGAGAGTTTGAGGGTGGGAGATTCAAACTCAGGTCAGACACCAAGCAGGATTTTGTCACATTTCAGTCATCACATTAGAAGGGTAGACTCAAAAGGAATATAATCCTGGGAAAGTTACAGAAACACTCCTGTGAACATTAAATAGGAAGAAATAAATCTGAACATAATGAGGCACATTGTGAAAAGAGAGACGGAGTTATTTAGGTTTGCATGGAAACTCCATGGCATGATTCCTGCCTTTTTCTTTGGTGACATAACTTTTTACCCGTCACTAAGTTGAAATAACAAAGTTCCACTATGTGAGGTTGGCTTAATGGAATATGTTGTCCCTTTTTATAGTTTCCCCCAATGTCCTCTTTGGTCTTCCTATCTCACTGTCCACATGGAAATGCTCATTAAATTATCAAGTTCAGTCAATTAAAACTTGTTTGCACAGGATATCCCTTGGTTTAAACACAAAGAAAGTATTTCTCTAATTTCCAAAGCATTCTTTCCAATGCTAAGAAACATATGCAATAAGCAAACAACATTTGAATAATCCAAGTTATTATTGATCTTTCTGAACTAAGAAATGTTCCATAGATGCATGGATATGTTTTGACTCACTTTTAAGAAATATAACAATACAACAGTTCAGTAGAACAAAGAAACAACTTACTCCGGTATAATGTTTCAATATTGGAGAATAATGATCAAGCGCTATGTATATTTTCTCAAGAAGGCCTAAAAGAACATCCACCTGATCACCCAAGAGATCCACCTTCAATACAAAAAAGAACCATAATAAATACAATAATAATAATAATAATAATTTACCAAATCAGAAAGCTCTATTATGATGTATAATGCGATCAATGATACTCAATGATCTTCTCTGCTTTGGTTTAAGTTATTTCAATGTAAACTGTATACAGTTAATGTGAAAACTAAAACAGGGTAATTTATGTAATAGTTTAACCTTGAAATAGAAGCCAGTACACAGTCCATTGAGCGATCAAATACAGTGTAGACTACTATATCACTACACTACCCTTTGGTAGTTTTCTTCCTAAACCACTACTAATTGAAAAGGGGAGACAAGAAATTCACAAATAAAATATCATTACTCATACCATAGAAGACAATCTGCAGCTTGGTTTATCATTATCAAAAATATAAGCCAAGCATCATTTAATTCATAGTTATTCCTTGTGAAATTCATTCGACAATGTCAAATAGGTATAAAGCCATTACAAAATGGAATCCTCTAACATTTCCTAATTCTACCTCAGTTTCAGCCTTTTCAAGGTCAGAACATCTCCTTTCAAGATTCTGCTTATAATGCAATCCCTTTCTTTTCCATACATTCGCCGTCTGAATGAGAGAACTGAATTGGGAGTTCAAATTCTCCAACCTGAAAATTGACCCATATGCACATTACATATTTGAGTTAATAAATGCAACAGAAAATTCCATCTCCAAATTAATGCAGATGCTTTTCAAAATAAAAGAATTGTATAAAAACTCAGTAATAGAGTATCAAACCAAATTATAATCCAAAGATAATAAAAGTCAATGGTTCATAAAGGAACATGAATTTGACTGAAGGACACAAGGTCACACACTGTCCAAAGACCAGGAAATAGACCAGAGTTAAAGTTATTTAACATTAAAAAAAAAAAAGCCAATTAGCTTAACTTGATGGATATACAATCTATACATCACTATCCCAAACATAGGGTCCTGAAAAGGGCTGAATTCAAAAAATTTCAACCATTCTGCAAGAAGCAGGGATTGGCAGAGCTACATCACTGTCAATAAGGATCTCTCACAAAAGTGAAAGTTATCTTATTAGTTTCAGTTGATAGGCTTAAAAGTGATAAGAATTAGCTTAACTGAACTTTTCTTGACAACATTAACCAGATATTTGAGTATTGGCAATCTGGAAGTACCAGAACACTATGAACTGAAATTTAATGAATTCCAAAGTCATGAATTATACGCCTTTTCTCCACAAGTTTAGGTAAAATTCAATATCATACATTTGAGAGGAAAACAATGCAATTCAACAGTTACAACCACAATAAGAAAATCTAGGACAAAATTCATTTGGTTACAGAACAGACAACACATTGCAACTTAAGGTTTCTTTCCACTTAAAACCTTCTAGTCATTTGTAAGGACAGATAAGAGAGGACAGAACTGAGACAACATTCCTGTCTCTTAAAGCATAAAGAGTGTTATGTAAGCCATCAACATTTCATAAGACTTATCCAAGCATTCGGTAATTTATCAATAGGGAAATGAAAAAAGGTAATGGTGATAGAGGAAGTACCTTAGATTACTCCTCTTCGTATCTTCTGCTACTCGACATTCAAAATCAGCAAATGTCTTAGATAGTCCTTCAACAAGAATAATTATTGATTCCATCTGTTTTCTATGCTCATTTTCATTTGCTTCAACCAACGATAAAATATTCTCCTTCTCCTTGGCAGCAACAAGAAGCCTTCTTTTCTCATCATCGCTTTCCCTCAAAGCTTTCACCGCCTGGTCAAGCTTCTGGTTTAATTTACATGTCTCCACTTGTTGTAATTCAAGTTTCTCCAATGCTTGAAGGAGATCAACTTTCAGAACATTGGATTCTTCATTGCACTTAGAAATTATCATTTGCTGCCGATTTGTCTGATCCCTTACAACATCAAGTTCTTGAGAAGCCAACATAAATTTCTCCTTTTCTCTTGCCAGTGCAGCTGATGTTTGATTAAGTAACTTCTCCTTTTCATCAATTGCTGATGCCATTAGAAGCATATGCTGCTGTAATTTTTCCTTCTCTTCAACTTCCAGTTTTAGTACCCTTTCTTTCTCGAATGCATCCTTGCTTAAGTCATGGAGTTTCTCCTTGGCTTCTGAGAAGGCTGCTCTGAATACAATTGCACATAGTCCTTCCATGATTAAAGATTCCAAATCAGAATCTTCAAATTCACTCTTGCTGGCATGTGGCATATTGCAAAAAGCATCTCTAAATTTAAGGTCATAAATTTCTTCCATGATGATGTGCTCCATCTCTAAATCTTGACTGATCCGCTTGGTCTGGCTGATTGCCTCCCTGATGAAGCATTTATGTACATCCCCACTAATGGAAGATTCAATATGTACATCTTCAACTGCAGATTCAAGGTTTTCTACCTTTTTCAGTAAGTTATCCTCGGTCCGAGAGTACTGTGAGATTTTCACTATGGCATCAGAAACTTGTGAAGAAAGGCGGTTAACTTCCTTTTTCTTATCGGAGAGTGAATCTCTCAGTTGATGGTTTTCTGAAAGAAGAGATTCTAATCTGTCCTTCAATATGCCGAGAGTCTCACCATTATTACTTAATAAAGGAAATTTCTCATTTCCAACAAGAATTCTATCCAATTTCACAATGACATCTGGGATCTTTTTCCTCAAGACATCAAACTCCTTATCCTTCCTGAATGGCAAAGAAGAACCCCTTTCTTTCAAATATTCCCGTTTGAGGCTAAAATATTCTTCAGTCATCTGTTGTAGTTTGTAGTCATGGTTTCTCTTCATTTTTGTCATCTCAAGCTTGAAAAAATTCACCAATTCCCCCTTTGACATGTGACTCAGTTGCGCAGCATCCAAATTTTCTGGCACAGCAATTACTGACTCTTCTTGCTTGCCATTTCCTTCCCAAAGAGATGAAACATGATTCTCTGAAACCTTTCGATGTAAATGATCGGTCCTTTTATTGTTACTCAAATCATCATTGATCTCCAAGGAACTATGAGAATTCAGCATCCCAGTTTCAGGATTAGACAGTGATTTAGAAATGGTATCTAATTCCTGACGCAAACTGGAAATCTCATTGATCTTCTCAATCCAATTTACATTTCCATTACCATAACATTGAGCATTTTGATCCCATAGTCTTTCTTCAAACTGTTCCTTCAAACTCCGAATACAATTTGTTACCACCATATGTTCAACATCTTCCTGATATTCTCGCTCCAGCTGCCGCTGACAGAGTGCAACACCAGATGAGCAAATTATATCGTCGACTCGCTCATAGATAGTGTCTAGGGTTATTCTTAAAGAATCAAGTGTTTTATCCAGATCAATCCGGTCTCGGGTTTCATCCTCTTGCAGAATACCACCCAATCCCACCCACTCAGGACCTGAATTAATCCTCCTAATGGAACTATGCCCTCTGATTTTGTCAATTTCTATCCCAAGATTCTTAAACTGCCCTTTAGCTGCATTTTTAAGACTGCCCAAAGATTCTCGGATCCTGTCATGCTCACAAAAAGAATCCGACAATCTTGAAAATACACCATCTTTTTCAATGTTTGGTTCATAGTGCTCCAGTAAAGACTTGTTTTCATCTGAACAAACATGGTAAGGATTCATCATTTTCTTCAATCGTACTAACTCCAACTCTTTCTGAGCAATCCTATCAGCTGCCTCTTGCTCAACAGCATTGACCATGCCCCTGATGACTGAGTCACTCACCAACCTAGAAATTGTCAACCGGTCCTTGATGTCTTCCACGTATGAATCAAATTCATTAAGAAAGTCAACATCCAGTTCCTCATCCTCTTTTATATTATCACCAATGTGCACCGACCCATTTACAGATGCATCACAACATGAAACAACACGAGCATTCACATCTTTACAGCTCTCCATAGCCATCTCAGAATTGCCTCTCACCACCAGGATTATTATACTGCAAACAAAAACAAAAAAAAAATGAGCAAACTAAATCAATAACAATTAATATACATTGCTCAAGATCACCATAAGTTTCTACACTTCAACTACCTGAATATAACTAAATTTGAAACTAACTACTTCATAAAAATTCAAATTTCATCAGTTTACTTGGTTGAGCTTAGATTTTCAGCATAAATAACTGGAGAAATGAACTACAAGGCCTCAGATTTCATTTCTTTTCCCCTTTCTGATGTATTCTTATCAGTCAAACAATGACAATTAGCTCAAAGTCAAATTTTTCTAAAACAAATGCAAATCACGCTAACAAAATCTGACAACTTTTGACACTGAAAATTGAGCTTAACACATTCATAAATATATTGCATTTGAGAAAGAAATTAAACACAAGGGTAAATTAACAAGAAATATAACCTCAGGATTCTAAGACGAAACGAACGAAAGCGAAGAATCAAAAAAAAAAAAAAGAAAAAAAAAAGGTTAAAAATTTAAGCACAATTAATGTAAAAAAAAAGGCAACTTACAAGATTTTCTGGGAGAAACTAAAGGTGAAGAGAAGAGTTCAGGGAGAAAAGCTGCTCCATTTAAAAATCTCTGTGCTTCCCTCTGTTCTTCTGTTGACGTTTAGGGTTTCTGAGAAACTAGACAAAAAGAGTCCAGATAGATTTGGTGAGCGGGAGTGAAAATAGCAGACTGTACAATGAACCTTGGAATTAAATTTATTTACATAATCTGCCATGTTTGACCTTTCTTTCTCCAAGGAAATCTTTTTTTTTTGTTTTAATTTCATTTTTTTGGGAAAGGAAAATTAATTAAAAATACTTGTATGTATTTAAGCATATGCTTTATGTTACCAATTTTTTGTCTTTATCTGTAAAGGCAAATATTTACGTTTACAATATTAGAAGAATCTAGAAACCAAAGCTAGTAAATATAATTCTTTAAAAAAAATTAATTACCCCTTTTTATTTTTACACATGCATGTAATTTTTTTTCAAAAATTTAATACGTTTGGGAGATATTCACCTGAACATATATTTACGTAAAATAATATATTTATGTCAAACAAATTGAAATATTTTGCATCAAAGATTTAGATATGTTTCTCTTTCTTTTTATTCTAAATTTCGATTTAAAATTTAATTTAAAGTCTCAAATTTAAATAACTTAATGGTATGCAACATTTAGATAAGGAAAAATAGAAATGACTTAATGTGAATGTTACGCAACCTTGTGAGAAAGTAGTAAGGGATCAGTTGTAGATTACATTAATTAATTAATTAAAGGATGTTTGAGAAAGTAGTAAGCTCTCCTTTCTATGGACCACCTGCACAAATTAATTAAGCTTATTATGATTAATTATTATTAATTAATATGACAATCATAATCAGTGTGGTCGAGGAGGAAACGAGATAAGAAAGGAAAAGAAAACAATCATGATGACCATGATTTAAGCTTGTTTCTTTCTTGTTACTTTGTTTCTTTCCTTTTCATTTTCATATTAGAGGCTGTAAACCCAATCCCAATCCACAGCTCCTTTATAATGCTTCAACTTGATTAAAGAGTTTGAGATTTAAATTTGGAAAAACTTAATTTGTAATAAATCCACACTCTGAAAAAAATTTAAATTCAAACATCATGTTAAAATTATTATATTTTATATAAATCTAAAATGACTTGAAACTAATTTAAAACGAATCGAACTTGAAACAATTCAAATTTAAAACAGCTTAAATTTGAGATATTTCCAAATTATTATGTTCATGTATGATTGGAAAAAATTAAATTAAAAAAATAAAGTACTTTACCTTCCATTTCAAAGAAAAGAAAAAGGGAAAAAAAAGGGGGGGTTTCCATGAATAAAGCATATGACACATTCTAATGGGTGAAATAATTGATGGGAAATGCTTTTGGTCAAAGGTTATTGGAGATTTAATTAATGGGATCCAAAGCTACATGTCACTTTCTAATTATTTGTATTCCACTCTATATGAACCTTTCAATTGCATTTAGTTTTTTTTTTTTTAAATTGAGGGTTAATTAGGTAAAGATAATTGACCCTTTATTAAATTGAGGGTTAATTCCATAAAAAATTATACTCCATATTATCTTTACCTAATATATATACCAAATGAATTTACGTATATTTAAAATTATTTCAAACCTACAATATCCTTCAAAATTCATGTAATTATGTCTCCTATAGAAACTTTTTAGAGTTATGCTAAATTAAATATTTTATTAATATTCACAGCTTTTACATTTTCATTCAAAATGTTTATAATCTTTAATTATTTTCTATGCAATCAACTATCGATAAAACCGTGACTTTCAATGGAATGATTTCATCAAACAAACTCTTTTTTTTTTTTTAATTTCATTTTAAATGCATCCTAGTGGGGCTCTTAGATTTGGCACAAAATGAATTTTGATAATTAGTATTATATTATTTATAAAATATTTATAAATAAATAAATAATATGTATAATAAAATTTAATATTAAAATCATTATTTATAATCAAATTTAAATAGTGGGTATCTAAAACCATTATCTAAAGTTTACTTGAGTTCATGATAAATATTACTTTTACTACTCAAACTTAATTATAAAGTAGCTTAATTTTACTTAATCGAATCAAGTAATGCCAATTACATATCTAATTATAAAGTATTTATTGTATCTCTATTCAAAGGGTTGATACGTGTGTACTAGACTATATTTAAAAAAAAATTAGAGATTGAATTGAATAATTAATTTGATGAAGCAACTTTCATAAAATAGAGGAGTTGGGATTTGGCAGAATATAGATAGATTTTGTATTTCATTAATGCATGGTAGCTAGTGGTTCCAATAAATTGATTTGCAAATGGGTGGAGAAGATTCAACACTATACTTAAAATGGGTAGCAGTTGGGAAACACCACATTTATTTTATTTTTGTGTATATAAAACCAAACCCTGCACAAGTGATGGAGTAATACGTCGGAATATTATTATAAATAATATACATACTCATGGAAATGATTCCTTAAAATTAACTCAGGCTTTCGTTCAATCAACAAGCAAATTAATAAGATTGGATCAATCGTCCTTAAAAATTGCAAATTAATTAATTATTAAGATCACAACTTATAAAAGAAACCAACCCAAATTGATTAATTGCCACCTAAGTTAATTTAAAAGTTTAAACTAAGCAAAATATAGGTTACTTAAACTTCAATTTAATTTAAAAAAAGAACAAAAGTAATACAAACAATATATACTTTAGGGTAAAATATTTTGACTTTCTTAAATTTTGATCGAAATTATACGAAAATTTATTAATTTTAAAATAAATACTTCGATTTTAAAAATTATTTTTACACGTAAGTTTAGCGGTTAACATTTTTTTCATTTCTTTATGTACTAGTTGTTTAGTTTCCATTATTAAAGCTGGATAACTTAAATGCAACCATCAGTGGCAGCTGTGTTATAAGGGTGGCAATTATTATTATCTCTTTATTAATTTGCTAAGTTAGATGTCTAAATCTTTTATTTGTTTATTTAAATTATTATTCGACAACTCGAACATTTTCTTATTAAAAAAAAATTGAACATCTCTTTCATCAAATTTTAAAATAATTTATTATTAGACAAAAATAAGATATTTATTTATTTTAAAATAACCAAAATTAATTATTATCGAAGTATTTGAAATTTAAGTAAATCGTTAATCTTATTCTAACCAGTGTGATTTAATCGAACCAAGTAGTTATTTTTATTAATTATCTAAAATAATTTATTTGGTGGATGCTGGATTAAAAACTCTCCCACCTTATTCGACCCAACTTGAAAATTCAATTTTTTAAATTATAATATAATATTGTCAATGTATTAAAAAAGAAGTGAAACTTATCAAGTTTAGAAAATAAACTTCACATTGATGACTTACTTTCAAATTCAAATAAAAAATACAATTAAATATGAAATAAAATATCATGAGTTTTTTTAAAATAAATTTATTAATTTGATGAGTTCTCTTTCATTATTGATTATCCTATTTAAAAATTTACATTATTCAATGTAAAATCAATACTTTGTTAATTAAATTAAATATATATGATTTTATTCTTGCTTTCGGATTGGAGGTGACAATTGCAATTTGCAACGTCCAAACGGTGAAACTCCTAACATCACAGCACGGGGACAGGAGCACTTTCGTCTCATTTTAAGATAAGCTGAACCGCGCTTTCTCGTTCCAACCGTTCTTTCGTTCAGAACGCAAAGGAGAAACAGATTTTCCTTCATTGTCACCAAGTCCAGACGCCGAATTCTCGATTTTCGTCTTCAGTCGAGATGGGATTTTACTCCGAGGCCCACATTTGCCAGTGTTTCAGCCGCCTTACCACCCAAAAACGGAACTCCGTGGTGACAATCAGCGGCGACCGCCAAAAAACAGGCCACCAGCTGGTCGAGTGCGTGCTCAATCTGGCTCGTGCCCTGCTCCATCTTGGCCTCCGAAACGGCGACGTTGTTGCCATATCTGCTTTCAACAGGTTCTTATTTATGTACTTGCCTAAATTTGTTTTATGGAAATTTTCAAGTTCAAATCTTGAAGCACTTTTGTTTCGGTTTCTGCTTTTTTTTTTTTCCCTCAATTACGGTTCCGGAAATGCCTTTTTTTTTTAACGCCAAACGCAGTCTTGTTTTATCTTTTATCTTGATGATCGTGTGAGCAAGGGCGGCTCAATAAATTCAAAGGGCTAGAGCAAAATATGTAATGAATTTTTTTTATTGAAATTAAAAAAATTATTAATTTTTTTAAGATGTAAAATTTTTATATTTTTTAAATGATTAATATAAAAATTAAAATTAAATTTTTAATTCAAATAAATCAATTATTATATAAAATTAAATAAAAATAATATAATATTATAATATACATAAAAAATTAAAATAAAAAAATTTATAAATATTAAAACAATAATATCTAATTGTTAAATATTTATTACAAACTGCAAATGAGATTTACAGTTTTATAAAGATAATAATATAACAGATTTTTTTATGTTTATTGAAAGAAAATTGAAATTAAAGAAAGAAGAAAAAAAAGTAAATGAAAAAAAAAATTAAAAATAGATTTTATATATTAAAAAAGAAATAACTGATTTTATATATAAAAAAAAATAATTGTTAAAAATTATTAAATATATTAATCAGAAATAAGGTAAATAAGTAAAAAAAATAATTATTAGAGCTGATTAAATATATACGGATGTTAATTGATTGAAAATAATATAATTTTTTAAAAATATAAAAATATAAAAAATTAAAATTTATTAAATATATAATTAAAAATTAAAAAATAAATAATTTTTTTTAATTTTTATATATTATTAATATAATAAATTATATTATAAAATTATAAAACTTCCTCAAATTGGGAGCTTAGAGCCCTTACTTGGATGGCTTTACCTAGGGGCCGGCCGTGCGTGTGGGGTTTGGAATGCTATTTTTAAATTTTGATGTAAAAACATTGACATTAGCATGCATAGTTAAATATAATGCATTATGCTAAGAGTTTGTATATTAATAGTAAATGGATTTGGAAAATCTTGTGATTCTGTTAAAATAGAGGGCCGAAACGTCATGAATTTGAGTTTTGACACCTTCATTGTTTCAATCTCTTTCTCCATATTGGGCT